TCATGACTGCCTGCCTGTATTTCAACCCCGTTCTCCACACCATCCTCGCTTGATCGTTGTTGCTCCATACCCGGTACCACTTCCGTGTTCAGGCTTCCATGTTTCTTGTTTTTTCACATTTACCCTGTGCCTTGTCGCTGTCTTCCCTAACCTTGTCTCTCTGTCTGTTTCCCTCCCAGGTACACTCACCCTCGTCCTCCGTTCGGCTGGGCTCATCCACTGGCCCACTCCTCCTCGGACTTCCCTCACGGCGTCCTCCTGTCCCCCCCCTCTCCTCGCTTCCTCCCCCTGTGTTCCCGGCTCCTTGGTTCCCATGCCTGTGCTTCCCCGACGTCCTCCTCTCCCTCCACTCCAGTCCCTCTCACCCTTTTTCCCTCAATAAACCTCCTTCCCTCAAGTGCTGCATTTGGGTCCTCTCTGTCCACACACCACACCCCGTAACAGTTAGCTTGCTAGCTACCTAACATTGGTCAACATAGCATGAACTTAGCTTCAATAATGCTCTTGTTTTTAGTAGGTGACAGTTCATGTCACTTGCGGGCAAGACACATTGGTTACCATTCATATAGTCTACAAATGCTACATATTGACAAAAGTATAGTTACAGTGTCTATGAAGATTCTCAGTCATCCAGGTCATAGTTATCCAACGAAGGTTAAAATCAAGGGCAACTGGACTTGGTGAAGATACTGGAAGACGTTTCGTCCCTCATCCAAAGGACTTCTTCAGTTCTGACTGACTGGTAGGGAAACTCAGCTATTTAACCTCAGTGGGGTCGTTATCCCGGGTCATCAATACCGCTGGTTCATTAGTGTTCCTTGTTGCTGTGACGACAGTCGTTACAGTCGTTAAGACTACCTGTGGCCAAGACTGAACGACCATCGTTGGTATCTTCATCTGAGGCCAATAGGTTATGTTTGTTGAGTTTCAGTGTAGTGTAAAAGCGCTTTGAGTGGTCGAAAAGATGCTATACAAAACGGCTAACACAAGACAACACCCTGGACAACAGAACTAGCCTCAGCCCTGACCAAATCTGCAAATTACTCGACCTCTGTCTAAACACCACCTACTTCCAGTACAACGGTGGATTCTACAGACAGAAGCATGGCGGCGCCATGGGCTCACCGGTATCCCCGATTGTGGCAAACATCTACATGGAAGAAGTGGAGAGTAAAGCCCTCAACTCCTTCAGAGGAAAGCACCGAGCCACTGGTACAGATATGTGGACGACACCTGGGTCAAAATTAAAAGCCAGGAAGTGCAAGCCTTCACAGAACACATCAACTCTGTGGACAGTAACATCAAGTTCACACGAGAAGATGTTCAAACAACAGTTTGGCCTTCCTGGACCTGTACACATTGAAGAGGACAGGAGCCTGCAGATTGACCTTTGTGAAAACAGCTACAAGATCCAAGAAGAACAAAACTACAGGGGAGGAAAAGAAGGTCAAACGCAACAACATTGTGATTCCATACGTGTCTGGAGTATCAGAGAAACTCAGGAGGATTTTCAACAAACATAACATCCCTGTGATAAACCCAAGAACACACTAAGACAGATGCTGGTACATCCCAAGACCGCACACCCAAACACAAGAAAAGCAATCTAGTGTATGCGGTCCAATGCAGTGAGGAATGCACAGACCTGTATATTGGGGAGACTAAACAACCACAACACAAATGCATGGCTTAACACAGAAGGGCCAACTCCTCAGGTCAAGACTCTGCAGTCTACTTACATCTGAAGGACAGAGGACACTCGTTTGAGGACCACCAGGTGCACATTTTAGACAGAGAAGAAGCCATCTATACCAGGGTTGAGAAGCCATCATTGAACAGAGGAGGGGGTCTACGCCACCACTTATCCCCCACTTACAATGCTGTCCTTTCATCACTTCCCAACGTAACCTATTGGCCTCAGTGAAGATACCAACGATGGTCGTTCCTCTTGGCCACAGGTAGTCTTAACGACTGTAACGACTGTCGTCACAGCAACAAGGAACACTAACGAACCTGCGGTATCGATGACCCGGGCCAACGACCCCTGAGGTTAAATAGCTGAGTTTCCCTGCCAGTCAGTCAGAACTGAAGAAGTCCTTTGGATGAGGGACGAAACGTCTTCCAGTATCTTCAACCAAGTCCAGTTGCCCTTGATTTTAACCTTCGTTGGATATAGTTACAGTCTAAAAATGAACTGACTGTATGCTTTCATATGCCAGGGGGAGGTAGGTGGTCTATTGATCTGCTGAGGCGAGCACTGAAGAGGACCAACCAGTCAGCTTTCATCCACCACCAGCTGGCTATGTGCTACAAGAAAAGCAGCATAAATGCAAGACCAGCAAGGCCTTCAACAAACAAGGTACAATCACATTTACACAGGTCTAAAGGTCCTTGAAATCCTATAATATTTATAGATCGAAACTAAGCTATGTTGTGCTGCATTACACTAGAGGTGAAGCAGTGGAAGCATCTGCGTATTCAACACCTGGAAGAAGCCGTTAAGATAAAGCCTTCATTTGTTGTCGCAATTGCTGATCTGGCACTGCTGCATGGACAGGAAATGAATTTAAGCAGGTACTCTGTTTACGCTGCTACAGTGATGTTCTGTCTTTTTGTTCTTGGTCTTTCTGTTCTGTGTCTGTTTTAGTTAAAACTAATTTATCATCATCACGTCTTTGTCTGTCAGGGCTGAGGAGCTGTTCCAACAGGCATTTCAGAATTTAGCAACGGACAAAGGCGCTACTCAGGCTTTCCATCTGAACTATGCTGACTTTTATCTCTATCACACCAAACAGGAAGCTAAAGCGATCCCTCACTACATTGAGGTGGGTCTACATCTGCATGTGTGTGTTGAAAACCAAAGATAATTGACATTATACTGAATAAACTCACCTTCACAGATCTAACTTATCAGAACTACAAAACAAAATAATTGATTTTATTACAAACCACTGAACTTTGGAAAAACAGACTTTAGAAAAGATTAATATCACAACATTACACAGTAGGCAGTATCCCTCTAACATACTGATCTACCCTCTGTTTTTATTCACTCAACAGGGTCTGCGTTTAACACAGGACACATGGGAGTGGAACCAGTGCGTTATGGTGAGCATCAGGTTATCAGGACTGCTGATGCAGTTGTACATAACAAATGTTATGAAAAATTGTGAATGTGTTCTGTGGTGATTGGATAGTTCAAATTGATGTGAAAGGTCTGGTCAGGACTCTGGGTTTGCCTTTACAGAGAGTGGCTCCAATAACCAGGTCTTGTTGTAACGAGCTTTATTTACTCAATAAGGTGCATACAGTATAACGTACAGGCAGTGATGAGACTTGTGGTTTGGGTTCATGGACCCACAAATCACTGTTTAGCTGAAAATAATGGAGAAAAAAAGGATTTTCTGATGATCATTTAGCCTTTTGAAGTGATAACCTTGGATTAGGAAATACAACATGCTAACATTAGAACACAGCTCTGATGATTGCTGATAATGGGCCTCTGTACATCTGTAGATATTCCATTACAAATCAGCCATTTCCAGCTAAAATAGTCATTTACAACATTAACAATGTCTACACTGTATTTCTGATCAATTTGATGGTATTTTAATAGATATTTGAAAAGGAAACTTCTAAGCTGTCCAAACTTTTCACTGGTAGTGTATTTAGAATACATATAAACACAGATCAGCCATAACATTATTACCACTGACAAGTGAAGTGATTATCTCGTTACCATGGCCCCTGTCAGTGGATGAGATACATGAGGCAGCAAGTGAACATTTTGTTCTCACAGTTGATGTGTTAGACGCAGGAAATATGGGCAGCATAATGATTTGAGTGACTTTGATAAGGGCCAAACTGTGATGGCTAGACAACTGGGTCAGAGCACCTCAGGATCAGGGCTCACCGATGCACCTGGGGAGAGAAGGCTGGCAATGTTCTTCTGGGAAACCTTGGGTTCTGCCGGTTATGTGGATGTCACTACTTCAGAGGTTGTTCCTCCTTCTTTTACTTTAGAAGCTGAAGATGATCGCAGAGCGGCACCTCTCCTATGACAAGAACGACGCCCAGTCTTACGGCCTGTTGGGTCTGGTGGCCAAAGCTGAAGGCAAAAAGAAGAAAGCTGAGGAGTTCTATGAGAAAGCTCTGGACTGTGACGAAAACAACGATGAGTACCTGTCTGCTCTCTGTGAGCTGCGCATGGAGCTGCAGTGATGAAGCACAGAGATCAGAGCCCCGTTTCAGAAAGCAGGTTCAACAAACTCTGAGTGTAAACCTGAACTCTGAGTGGGCAAACTCAGAGTTTGCCGTTTCAGAACAGCTGATCAGAATAAGTTCAGTCAACCCTGAGTATATTGAGCCTGATTGAAGCGCGTGCGTGGGGATGAAAAAAAGCCTCATCAATGGAGCTCCGATACTACAATTCACCATGGCAACGGGTAAATAAAGGCAGAGCCTCCATTTTAATTGGGTGGAGCTAGAAATATGAACGCTGCCAACATGGACCATGATTGGCTCTAAAACGCAGGAGTGGAAGAAGGATCGAAACGTTGACAATATTACATTTTATACAGCGCTGCTCATTCATCATTTACCAGACTGGAGTTTCCTTAATGAATGATAAAGTGCTGGAATTCTCCTCCAGCCTGTTTTAAACAGCTACAGGCCTGTTTATTCAGCTGGAACCTGACGGTGGCAATAACTGAAGATGAAAATATTAATGGAACAGATTAGACACAGTCAAGGTTCCTCATGGACCTGTGATTGGAAAGTGACAGTCCGACTCAGCAGGTCTATTAATGATTCTTTTGCAATGTAAAATGTGTCTAGGTTCAAACTGACTATGAAGTTTTAGACGTCTTTGTTACATTAATAAAATGTTGCTCATTTGGTTTTTTATGAAATGCTGTCAAAACATATTCAGACGATCAGCAGATAATGAAAAACTCACTTTTAAACTACATGTATTTGTTTCAGCTGCACCGCAGTCATCCTCACTCAGAAATATTCACATCATATCCAGCTGATAACTACGAGAGGAATGTTCAATCTGTGCGACTACAAGATGAAAGGTTACTGTTCATTGATCAGTTTTATACAGATTAGTTTAAACAGTAGCCTATAAGGCAGCACTGTAGCCAAAGTGTTTTTGTGCAACTGTTGACAACCTGACAGCTGCCTAAATGTCCACAGAGTCACTGAGTTATAAAGGACAGTGGAGCTTATAGATTTGATTCTGTGCTGAGGATAAATTCAAGATGTCCAAAGATAACTCTCTGTCCATACATCAATGACAGATTGATCATAAACACGTCATGTTCAAGATCATGTTTGGCTGAAAAAAACACTAACAGCCTATTTAACGTGATTTTGATGTTTCTGTTCCAATATGTGCTTTGAAATCGACGGTCTGAATGAGGAAATTCAGGCTCCGCAGGAGGGGAGGAGTCAGAGAGAAACTCAGCGTTAGTTGAAGTGAACCTCCTCCTGAGCAGGTTAGTTCACAGCATCAGGGGTTACAGACCTAGAGTTTATCTGATCTCGCTCTCTGAAACCGAAAACCCAGAGTTTCCCTCATCTCGGGCTCAACTTACTCCGAGTTTTCACTAAACCGGCTTTCTGAAACAGGGCCCAGGTCTTCAGCTTTCGCTTCTGTAGTTGATCAGGATGCTGAATGAAAACTTTTGATGATTTTCAGACGGCTTCTGTCTTTTTTAGGCAGTTTTAGACACCTCTGTACTCTGGAATTGTTCAGACACATGTTTTTATTTTCCTGAGCCCTCTTGAGTTGATGAGAGTCAGCTGGCAGGTGCACTTCACCACCTATTTTTCTTGTATCTGCTTTTGCTGTATAAACTGTAGCACTGAATAAAAAGAATGCAGTAAATGGGAAGAAATGGTTTTGCTAAGCAAGTTGCATTTGAAAGAATTTTACTAGTAGGTGGCGATAAAGGAAAATGCAGATTCTAGTAGAATTGGATTTCAGAGAAGATCAGACTGAAGGAAGAATCTGCAGAAATGAGCCTTAATGATGAGCAGAATGAGCAGGATCCTGGATCAGGACCAACTCTGAACCAGTTATAGTTAAAAGCTTCATTATCCATGTGGACCCTGGTGGGAGCTGCCAGTGATGTGCAGGTTCATGCAGGAATAAGATGGACTTTTGAGCTGTTGAGTCATATCAGTTCAAGATTCACGTGATGTCACTGGCTTCCCATGTGGTCCAGTCGTTGGGTTCGGGCTTTATAGCCAAGTCCTGCTGTGGGAAGATCCTGACATTTGGGGCTCTGAAGTGAATCACTGCAGATGGTGATAAACACTCTGTGAATAGTGTTCCTGTTTTCTACCTGAAGAACTTAAGTCCACCTGCAAGAACATAGGCTTTTATTTTATGTTCAAACTTCTGAAATGTCGTTTAAAATCACACAGCTGAAAGGAGGTGCAAAGATATTCAACTCTGATTTTGTTTCGCACAACGGAAACTGACCCAAGTTCTGCTGGTTCACTATGCTGGCTCAGTCGCTCATGGTGGTCAGTGGCCTGCTGGGAGTGCAAAGCTGCTAGGAGCACTCCAATGGAAAGCCATTCAAATCCCCACCCAAACTGTACGCCACCTGTCCAGTCATCCTGCTCTGCCACAGTGGACATTTCGTGTGACCCACCTGGGTAGCACAGGGCACTGGAAGATACATCACTGCCCCAGACCCGTTGTTTCTCAAGTCAGCGTGATGGCTGATTAGATTAAAGAAATGAGCAGTTGGTCCAAGCTTTTTATGGAACAACAAGCAGAAAACAATTTACCCTGATTTTATTATCCCTTGAATAGTTTCCAGAATTCCCTTCTAAACCGTTGAACAGAGTAACTCCAAGCTATATCGCAGACCAAGACTCCAAGAACTGATCGGAGTCCAGAAATCACAGGCTGATATATACAGTATAAATATATCTATCCAGTAAGTTGGTATTTGGCATTAATAGTGAATTAACAGTATAACTATTAATCATGTGCAGTTTATTATTACAGAGAATCAGCTTCAGCACATTTTATTCTTTTGTAAATGTGTCTCATGTTTTGATTCCTACAGCTGAAGATGTTTTGAAGCTGGTCATAAAGTGAAGACACTCTTCTTCTGTGGTGAAGTGCTGCCACCTAGTGTACGTTACAGGCCCTACAGGCTGACCTCAACTAAAGCTGGGGCCAGCTACCTTCTGGGCCAGAAAAAAAAACAACCAAAAAGATTCTTTAGCCCTTAAAATGCAGATACCACAGCCTCAACATTATTAATAGGTCTAAATGACCATTCGTTCATATGTTTTGGCTGCAGTGGGTCTGTAGGCTATTTATGATTCTTTGGCTACTTTAACTTACATGTTTCCTGTGCAATGTTTTGATGCATTTATGACAGTATATAAGTAGACTATAGTAGTGGTGGTGAAAGCAGATAAATCTGTCCATGCACTTTTGAATTCTCTATTATCCTCTGAGATTTTTCTTTTTTTGGATTTTGAAAGCAAGGAATACACTTTGTTATATGCTGACTGTCTAGATATACTGCATCTATATATAGATTAATACACAACATAATTCTAAGAGTGATTAAGCAATGTGTTTGAGCAACTATACAGCAAAATAAGATATACAACCATCTCTCCTTGGTTTCCTGCTAATAAGGGGGGTTGAGTTTAGAGACAAACATACAGTCGACATAAATGAAATAGAAATATATAAATCTGGAACAGACAATGCAAGTTATATAAGAAAATTAAAAAGAATAGAGAAATATATAACTGGGATATATCCGCATGAACCTGCACATGACTGTACACTTAAGTCTGACATCCTACCATCTGAGCCAATGCACCACTCCGCCAAACACGCAAACAATTTGACTTGTACTTAATGAAAAACTTCATTTGTCTTTAGAGTGACGCTTTTCAGCTGTGATTTTGGTATTTTAATCAGAGCTTGAGTGGCTGAGCATGACGATATATAGAATGTTTCCACACTCCTAAGTAGATATGAGTAGTGGAGACTGTGGGTTAGTGCTGTTCCCACATGTCTGTGTTTCCTGTTTTTTCCCCCTGGTTTTAGAGTTGTTTTATTTTGAAATCTCTTGTACATTCATCGTTTCTTTCTTATTTTCTTTGTTTGGTAAAAAGACAAAAAGAGATGTGAAGATGAGGACTGACTGATATGAGGATTTACTGCCCTCCAGTGGTCACACTGCATCACTACAACACTACATAGCACTGATTTGTGGCTAACAGGACTTTTTATCAGGATCACTATGTACTAATCAGTATTAATGAGGTGATGAGGATTGGTGATTACATTGGTGGTATTCATGACAGTTTATTTGAGTCACTTTAAAAGTCCAGTTATTGTTTGTATTGAACACATCACTGTTGGTATCAGTGAGAAGAGAGACTGGATTTCAGATTTTGTCTTCACTTTGTGTAATGGGGAATATTGTATCTACAAACATTCAGTCTGCCTGTCAGCAGTCTGTGTCAACAAAAGCACAGGTAAATGTCATCTTATTGTGAAATTCTGCTTCCGCAGCCCTTCCTACGTGGCCTGCTTCCACTCCAGGAAACAGCTCACCTGTGTTGAAGCCTTTTCTCTGCAGGCGTTGAGTGAGAGTCTTCTTCTCTAACACTTTGAACGCTTTGTGTTTGTGTTCACCAGGTGGAGGCGTGTGACGTCCACGACAGCTTCTCTGTAACACTGACTTTCTAAAGTCTTTTAGCGAGTTGGATTACTAATGAGCCACAGTACAGTCAGGTAGCTTCAGGTGTGTTGAAGTGTTCTCACCTTAGCTGAGCAGAGCTGTTGCTGCCACCTCTGGAGGTCCCAGTTCAGAGAGCCCTCATGAGTAGGGTTGGGTACTGAAACCCAGTGCCAATATGGAACCGGTTCCTATACGACCGGTACCTACAGGACTGATTTCCAATGCAAATTTTGGTGCCACTTGTATTGTGTTGATTTAAATATTTTTGCTCTGGTGCTCACGTTAGAAGCGTTGCCACCAAAGGCTACGAGACGACAGCCGGTTTCGCTCGGTCTTTATTAATGCTGCTATAATACAGGCTACCGTGAGATGCAGCCTACGCCAAAGAAACAAACCTGCCTCAACAGAGAGCTACACTTTTTATTTCTCTCGCTGTTCACCCTCTCTGTCCTGAGCCTAACGTTCCCTCCCCCAGGCTAGCAGTAACAACAACAACTGCCCCCCGCCCACCCCCCAACTCTCTACCTGCCAATCACAGGTAGGAAAATAAATTATTGAAAGGCTTCTACACGTATCAAACATTTGCTGACAGGCATGACACGTTCACTGACCTCCTGGAAATACTGGAGAACACGGTAACTACAATAAACAGCCTGTGAAGTTTGAAGCCAGTTTGTAGCAAGAATACCAGCTCAAAATGGATTTCTCTGTCAGTACTGTAACTGGTATTTAGTGTTAAATTACTGTAGTTGGGTTCG